CCTATGGACACCTTCAACACCAGAGGAGCCACAGTCACGATTCCAGTTTTAAAAAAGAATACGCATGTTTCTTGAAGGTTTAATGGACGTATGGGTTCGGAAATACCGCCACCAAAACATAATTTCAAAATGTTGTTGTGCGATGAAGAAAGTTTTGCGGAAATCGCACAGTTGTTGACTGCCAACCATCTATATGATGAGAATGAAAATGTTTTCGCGTGGGTCAATTGCGAAGTGATGTGGCGGGAAATAAACCAAACTATACATAGGTTTTAAAAATTAGAGTCTACATACCTTTAAAATAAAAAAGCCTAGCAGAGCAAAATGCATTTTTGGATTATTTATAAAACCATTTTGAGTTATAATTCCGATTAACTAGAGTCAAATATTTGGTATGCCGTTTAATAACAAGTGATGGATGAAGTCGTAAAACATTTAATCAATAATTGTTCGGTTCAATCAATGCGCTTAGATACACAGTTGATAACGATTCTTGCTCATGGCTGCAATTGCAGATCTTTCAAACTTTTTATTATTTTTAGTACTTTTATTCGTTTGAAGTAGGCGTAGAACACTCAGGCGTAGGGGAAAGAGAGATGACCTCCGGCCACCGTAAACGCGGGTCTGCAGACGACGAGCAAGGGTAGCTCGCTGTCCAACTAGAACCAGACGCGAGCGCACACCTCAAAGACAAAATAGACTACCATAGTCAGGGCCGTACAGGGCCGATTTTCAGCCGGGGTTGCGAGGCAATTAGGTGCTGCGGCTACTGGCCTATAATAGGAGAAGCAACGGAGTTGTTTTTAGTCAACAAGAGTCTGGACACTCACTCTCGCCTAACCATAGACGACAAAAGCCATTTGATGATTTTCCCCTCACAAAAAACAAAATTGTCAATGGCTTAATTTCTCTCTCTGCTCCCCACTGTCAGTAACTTGAACTCCTCTGGTTACAGATGAGGTATTGATTGTCTTTTTCAATATTTTAAGCTCTTATGATTCCTCTTATGTTCCAGTAAATCCTACCAATATTTACCTATGTGAAAGTTGATGAGAATGTATGAATGTGTGTTTGTTATTCTGTCACGCAACAACGGGTTGAAGTTAGGTATGAAGATAGGTGATCTTGGATAAACACATAGGCTACTTTTTATCAACATACCTAGCAGGCGAAACCGCGTCCGAAATCTAAGTATACGTATAAATAAGGAGATTTATGAATAAAAACAACAAAAGTAATTTTACTTAAATATATTTAGCAACGTATTTTTACTAAAGCGTAAAACAAAACGTAGCCTCCCCCAAAACATTCCGTTGACAAGTAATCCGACAGATGGCGGTTTTAAAAAGAAATCACAATTTTCATCATCAATCCATTCCTTCCTGAATTTTATACAACAACATTTTTATGCTTTTACATTTCTATTTTAATTCATACAATCCACCAAAATTAACATCAATTTGAAACGCAATAAACAAAGAACAAAAAAAAAACATAAAACAGAACAATTTTAGATGCCAATGACAACATTAAAAAAACACGTGACAAATATCGCTTGACTTTTTAATTGACATTAGCCGCCATTTTGTTTGAGCCTCTGTGGTAAGATTTGACAGCTGCCAAAATGATCAAGCGATATTTTAAAAAGTGGATTACAGCATTAATTCGTTGACCATAATAGGTAATCAAGATATTATTTGAGAAATGTTTTACAAAAAAAATAACATAAACGATACTTTTTTGAGAAATTTGTAATAATTTCTACATTGTCAATTTCCTACTAATGTCACTATTCCTTAACATCAGGATCCCATAATAATAACATTTTCCAGTAACAATTAACACTGGTAAAAGTGTTGTACATGAAGGTTTTATTATTTATTTATTATGGCAATCGCAATATTGTCCCATGATATGAAATTCTACTAACCTTTGTCACATGTTGGACAAATCGCATAAATTTAATACAAGTTTAAACATCTTTATTTTAATAAAACAGATATTGAAATTATACAAAAATGCGGCAACATTTAGATGATTTTCTATTATTTCCGAGACATTTTTTGTTATATAATAGGTATTAATGACATACTATTAATAATTTTACAACAATTTTGTTCTACTCCAATTATACTTTTTGTGATATCCACGAGATTATAAACAATTATTTGACTAAATATAAATATTTAATATTAATTTTGTAGTACAATGAAAATAATAAGCGCTTTTTAAATTAAATAAAATGTTGACTATAGGTTGCGTATTCGATAATTTAAGTTATATGGAATTACAAAGTAAGTTGGTGTGCATTTTAAAATTTGAATGACAATGGAGTAAGAGTTTACAGATATCCAAGTTTTAGTATTTCATTTAGAACACATTTTAAATAATAGAATGTACACAAAATACTAACATGACAAGTTCAAAATAAAAACGTATAGGCAAAATTTGCAGAACATTTTTATATAGTAAATGTGAAATTTGACTAGTAGAATGGTGGATATGTATACTCACAATTAATTGGTAGGTGTCTAAACATTTTGGGTACTAAAAACTATTATTTATATTCGTTACATTAATAACTGGCTTTAATTACAATGTATAGCATCATTTAAATATTATTTAAACGAAGAAATAAAACTTGCAAATAGTGAAATATTAGGACTAGATAGATTATAACCTAAAAATTCAGTCAAGTCATTTACTAAAGCACACTGTCTTGCTTAATCTGTGTATAGATTGGTTGAAAATCAACCGTCAATAGGTCAAACAGTATCAAGAATTTTATTTAAAAAAAACGCACAAATATTAAAGTTTCAAGCGGTTCATTTGTGGAGTTGCAAGTCTTGAAAATGATAACGACAGATAAATAAATTTTCAAGGTTGTTTTAAAAGAATAAACTCGAAAATCTACTATCGATACTAACAAAGCGATCGATTTCTATCGTTATCCCTGCCGAGACTTCTAGCTCAGATTTGTATAAGCAATATAAAAAAGGAAAAAGACGAATTAGAAAAATTGCAATTTACAAAAATGTTTTTTCATATAGAAAAATACGAAGAACAATATCAGGAAACGTTGGTGCCGTTGTAAGCTCTTCGAATTTCAAAAAGAATTTGTTTTTTTTTCTTTATTTAAGTAAAAACTTATCAAACTAACTACTTCTTTTTTATTTCTAATATTATACCGAAAGGAAGATCAATGCAACATGTACGAGTTTTTTTTTTCCAAAAAAATATAAATATTAATTATTATTTACATCAACAATATTAAGTAGTATTCTAGATATTAAATATTGCAAGTGTCATAAGTCAAAGTGTCAAAATTTGTATTATCCCACATACATATATTATATTTATGACGTAATTATGAAAAAATATATTCTATATGAACCACTATTAAGTAAACATTATTATGTGAGCTATTTTTATATGAAAATATAGGCAATATTTATTCATACAAGTGACTATTTACAAAGCATTTATTTATTATATTTAATTAATGAAAAATATATTGAGTTAAAATGAATACTGATTAAAAACAATTGGAATTAAAATGTATTACTGTCACTAAAATGATGCGAAATAAATACATTAAATGTGCCTTAAATATATTTTTATTTATTAATCTATAATACTATCACACGATTTTAGATTTTTCAAAGACAATTTTCTCGATTAGTAGATGATTAATGACATAGTTGAACACTACCCGTGTTGACAATTTGTCGATCTGTCAATGTGACAGGGTGGCGGTCTAACGACGGCCATTTGCATTTTTGCGTCCTTAAGTAAAATGGCTGACGCACGAGAATCATATAACGAATGATCGATATTACGAGCTAATATTTCAGTGTTCACTATCCGATTAATGTTTTATATAAATATTATATAATAATTAACATTAAAAATTCATCAAAGTAGCTAATTGTCGATTAGCCAGTCAGATACGTATATGTCAAAAACGTCTGTCAACATTGACCGGACAATGACCTCTATTCTGTTATTTAATAAGTAGCAAATTATCGTATTTTTACAGGTAATTAGAAATTGGTTTGATAGTTATGTTTGCTTTCTGTTTTTTACAAATTATGGAAACCAATGAGGTATTTTCAAGGGTGTTTGATAAAAACTAATTTTGCAATTCGTCGACATTTCCATTTTTGTATAGAAACGATTTTATGGTTTACGAATATGTCACGACTAAATTCAAAGGATTGCAGGCATATACCTGAGAGAATAATGATATTGTTTGAAAATAAATTTTAGTAGCATTTTGTTTATGATTTTTGGAAATGATTAGGTTCATATTAATAATTGTATTTACATTTAGGAACCCCGGTTTCCATTGTATTCTTGTTTTATCCGATTATAACTATTATGTGACTGTCAGATACTTTTCTGCGATTAATTTGTTCATGTAATGAGGGTTTCCGATCCACTAAAGGCGCTAGTGTAGCTTAAGATCTATTGACCAATTGGATATTTTCTGATATCAACACATTTGTCAGTTGTGTTAGCTGATTGGACCTAACACTGCATCCCATCTAGTGAGTGCAAAATCGAACAACCTTGTTATTGATCTGCCTATTACTTGACTAACTGTTACAAACCTCTTTAATTGATAGACCCGTATCAAGCGTTATACACTATAGGATTATTATCTCATCTATTGCTCAAAGTGAAATAATGCGTATGTATAGAGTTACAAGAATTATTTTCCTATGATAAACAAACGATGACACTGAAATATGTACACGGTAAAATCAGACTTATATTTAGTTCATAAGGTACGAATTACTAAACCTGTTATGTGGGTATTTCATGAAGTATATTGAGGTTAGGGTTGTCACGTTTCGTATACATTCAAGTAATATCAGAATATGTGTACATCTGAAAAAAGAATATAACTTTTCCGGACATAGAAATAAGATCTAAAATATCATTAATCTTATTCCTGTCTAACTTTAAATGTTATCATTTGTTTGTGACAGAAAAATGAACAAAAAATGATTGATATTAATTACTTTTGAACACAAAACCTCAACATACTCCAAGCAACGCCCAATTCAAAGAACAAACTATCTACTTTTAACATTTATTAGGTACTTTAGATCCAAACTCGTGTAATATATCGCAAGCCATTTCAAGGTCATTACGTGTGATGCCCAATGCGCGGACCACGATATCTTTTGGGTACCCCTCTCCTACCAAGCGAGCGATGTAATCTAAATTTATGTTTTCATACGACACGTTATCGCCGTACTTCCGTCCATGTTTGTCGTGTGTAAGAGGATTGATTTTTTTAGCTGGAAATAAATAATTGTTTAGGTTAGTTACATAACAGACAGACGGACATTATAGTGCTTTTAAAGTTAGCTTATCTGTATATATAAACTGGCAAATAGTGACTGATATTTAAACACGTAATTAAGTATACTCATGATAACAAACAACTTTCCCAAAGAAACTTTTTTTATTTACTTATTAGTTTTATTTTTTTTAGTATAACAGAATTCCTGCACGTTTGGCGCAGTGGCTGGGCAACTGGGTTTGATCCCCTCACGGAACAATACTTTGTGTGATCCACGAATTGTTGTTAGGGGTCTGGGTGGCTTGTGTATGTGAATTTGTATGTTTGTAAACGCATCCACGACACAGGAGAAAATCCTAGTATGGGGCTAAGTTTTTATAAAGAAGTTCAAATTTCGCATGCAAACAAGTTTCTTTGGGTAATTTATTTGTTATCTTGAGTAACACTCACGAGTCAAAATATCGGCCACTATTATCAGTCACTCTATATATTTACGTATGACTACAACAAGGCCATTTAAGAATTAAAACATAAGGTTCAAATTTCCTTAACAAAACTAAACAACTCAGTAATAATGTACTTACGTGCTACAGCCAACTCGTTCTTCTCCACAGCCACATTCTCGTACGGTGGGTCTTTTATGTCTTCTGATGGAAACTTGGGCATTGTGGTGGACTTCGTCGGCTGATCCACACTTCCACTGGTCGTCGCTGGCAAAGACCTTTGCCTGGGCGGCGCCCTATTCTCAAGCCGTGTCTCCCGATCAAAACTACTCCTAGATTCAATAATCCTATCGGGTTTCTCTGGCGGTCTTTCCGGAGGTAGACGGAAATCCGTATGCCTAGAATCTGATACTGGTAAATGCCTCTCCGATTTTTCGATAGGAGCAACGTGCCTTTCTTGCCTGTTATCCAGAACTCGGATCTCATGCCTGTTGTCTGGTAAATGTCTTTCTTGCCTCTCTGGGGTGGGGATGTGGCGTTCTTGCCTCTCGGCCCTTTCTGGTCTATTTTCTTGGTGACGTTCTGGCACGTGTCTCTCATTCGGCCTATTTTCGGGGACAGGGTGCCTATTTTCTGCAACAGGGTGCCTATTTTCGGGGAGATTTGGTGGATGTCGGTCTATGCGGTTATCTGGTGGTCTTTCTTGTCTATTTGGGATTTCTTGTCTTTCGTTATTGTATCGGTTGTCTGGTAGGTGTCGCTCTGGTTTTGGTTCGGTGGGAGTGGGGGTTTCTGCGGGTCGTTCGGGTGGGGGAGCTGGGAGGGGACGGCTGTTTGACTGCGGTGTACAAGCTCGGCGGGGTTTCTCAAAGGCCCTTGGGTCAGGTGGCACCTGAAAGAGACAATCGTTTTCTTTTTATTCTATTCATCAAACATGTTACATTATAAATACTAGAGCTTTCATCAGTTTCGATTAAAATAACATTTCTATACATTTCTTGTATTGCATAATGAAAAATAGTTCACTTCCGAATAAAAATAAGGTCCAAATTCAACTAACCTCATGTCTGGTGTCAATGACCCCTGTGATCGTTTCCGTGGAGCCAGTGATGATTGACGTGAGCCGATGTCGGGAATCAGGCTCCGGTTCTAATGAGGATCGTCTTCGTGGCTCCGCTGAAGAGGAAAGTTCAGGTTCACATCAATGGTACTTAAGTATTTTAAACCCGGTCTTACACTAGAAATTTCTAAAGTGTCGAGGGTGCGTTAAAAAAAAATGAGACAACAATTTGTACATCCAACTTCCAATCTAGCTTTTTATTTTAGACCCTTATACTGATGACTTATGAAACATTTTCGTGCAACAAGTTTTTTTATGATATTAATAATGTATGATCTTCAGCCACCGTAGGCGCGGTTCTGCGGACGGCGAGTAAGGGTAGCGCGTCGCCCGACCAGAACCAGACCCGAGTGTACGGCGCGTAGCGTTCCGCGCGTGCCTCAAAGAGCCAATAGACCACCACAGACGAGGCCTATAGGGCTGATGTTTAGTCAGGGTTGCGGGGTAAGCGCAATGAGGCACCGTGACCTCTGCCTTAGGCAGGAGAAGGAACGGGGGGGTTTTAGTTAGTAAGAGGCTCTCCTCCCCTCACCTCACCCTCGGCGGGAGAAACATTTGATGATTTTCCTCTGACAAAAAAAGGGTCTGTTTTCTAATACTAGGTACTTACTGTGAGCACTACTCGCAGCTGCAATATCTTGAACACTTGAAGCAGCAACGATAGCAGGTTCGGCCGGAGATAGGCTCTTCCTGGGCGGTAATGGGGGTGCTCGTAACTCCCCATACGCATTCTCGTTGGGCTGCGGAGCCCTACGCGGCGCTCTTGGGCTGTGACGGGGCGAAGCGCCCGGCGAACGCACTGATGGCCGCAAAGCGTCTATTGTGGAAGTAGCCGCGTTGAATTCTGCCCAATCCTGTTGGTACAATGGAAGGTTTGTTGGTTTCGTTCTCGCTGCTAATACAGCAAGGAATACAATACAGTTTAATTTAATTTTATTTATTTATCCATTTATTTCAATGTAATATGTATTTCAATATAATATGATATTTGAAATTTCGTACATAGAGACGTATACAGGAGAACTTTATGCATTATATGTGTTTTTAATCGTTGGCCTTGGTGATGGAGAGATGAGAGTGACAGATAATACGAAGCAAGTATACTGTTCTAGCAAGTAAACAACAGAACGGATCTAAATGAAATTTGGCCAAGGTAGATAAAATAGTCGGGAATAGCACATTTTTTAAATCTCCTCACTAGCAACTAACGAAAAAATCTGATGGTACCAATTTTTTTCGTTACTGATACTGTAGTACTTTTTAGTCTTTTTTTTTACTTAACATGATAATAAAAACACATGTTTATTCAAATATACTTGACATTCGAGTCGTTTTAAACCATAGGTGCAATTTTGTTTTTTTATAGTGAAAATAATGAACATGAACACCGTCAGAACTTTATATAATAATTATAGTACAAGTAATTTTAACTGATCACTGCAAAGTGCCATTAAATGGGGTTTTAGCTAGATGACCTAAGGCCTATTCATAAGGCCTACGTGAAGCAAAGGCCCAATTTATAAAGGTGATTGGAATGCCACGCAGAAACAACTTCCAGTAACTTTACCAAATCAATGTTAGAATGTATATTCAGTATTTATTCGATTTTCAAGTCTAATTTTTCAGTCTCTTTACATGCAATACAAAAACAAAAACAGTAAAAGGAAACAAAAAACACAAAGCACATATCACCAAGCGTATATTTTCAACATAAAAAATACACTTACAAATAAATAAATCGTTAAATCGTCATAATAATACGTCAAAATAATAATTAATAGTAATAATTAAATTATTGCCTATGTCAAATAATAAGGGCTAAGCGTAAATTTAATAATATGTTGCGACATTTTATAATCCATAATTAATTTTGCTAAGACTAACAACGACAAGATATTCAGAGAAAACAAACAATTCTGTTTTATCTGGAGTTCATTAAACGTGATTCTTAAACCACCAAGCTTTATAATTAAGTAGAAATATGTACAGAACCCGAAAAACGTTAAAATAATTATCATATTCATTCGATAAATACAAACTGAACGAACTTTTTCTGCGCTACAAAGCAGTCTTTATTTATTCTACAATATAAAATTGGAAATTATTTCCAAATAATAGAAAAACAAAATTACACTATCACTAAACTCCAAAATCGTCAAAATACCTAACATTTAATAATATTTACAAATTATATTTTAACGGGAAATGTCACGGTTTTATTTATGTATGTATGTATGTATGCCTATATATAAATAGTTTAAATATTACATAAGTTAATACTATTGCATTATGAGCACTATTCTTGAAAATTCGTGAGCAAATTGGAATTAATAATTATTTTTTTTAAATATTTTATGAAACGTAGAAAAATGTATCTTAAGATTATAGCAATAAAGTGTTGGGTTTTGTTGGTTGCAAAAGTGGTATGTATATGTATTTGTAAATAGTTATATGGACTTGTGAAGGTTTTAAAATTTCTCACTAAGCTGATGGCGCTGTAGACTTATTAGGTTAGCGTAAACAATCACTGAAATAGGGATGACAATTTAAAAAAAACACAGGCAGTGACTCGTTTGTTTTAGAGAATTAGACACGTATTTTTAATTCCTTACGGACCCAAAATCTTTTTTTATATATTTTATTATCGATTTCTAGTTACGAATATACTTAATACGAATTACTTATAAGAATTACATAGGTAGTTCTCGTACCTAAGCATAATTTTGTTTTATATAGATATTGTCTGCTTACTGCGATAAAATTTAAAACACGTGCCTGATAATTAGTCATAAAGACTAATTAAAAAATGCTTTTGATTAGACTGTCGTCATTCATATTGTGTCAACTTTTGAATGATTATCTATCTAGCTAACTATGATCTAGCTAACTAGCCAATAAGGTCCTATTTCTAAAAACAAATAATAACTACAATTAAATACCACTTTTGCAACAAGCATGATGGAGATAACACCAATCGCATTCCATAAAAGTGACTTTTATGCGTTTTCATATCGAAAATCAAATGAAACTTATTTGGCAGAGAGTGCATTAAGGCATCATAAGCCTACTGGTAGAGTTATAAAGTACATTTTTACGTATCATTTTTAATTTCCAAATAAGATTTCATAAATAATGATTAAGTACTATAAAGCTGTACATACCATCAATACTATTGCTAATATTCCATTGATTTCAACAACTTTAAATTTAGATCTCACTAACCACCGTACCCAGTCATTTAAGGGTTAATACTTAACTTTTGGACATTACTTACAGTCTTAAGCAACAATTTAACCAAATCTAAACCATGTTTTGGGAAAAAAATCATTACTATAGTACCTAATAGTTTAAGTAATCATTGGATGTTTCTGAGTATGGCAGTAAAACATTCTCTAACACCTCAAAACAGTTATCTAAACGTCAAAAAAGCCACCCTCTATGTAAGAAGGTTTATCTGCAAAAATCACCTACTACTATACTTTTGTGCGAATATGGCAAAAAAGTGATGTCGAATTTGTAACGCAAAAAGTCACTTAATAAATGACAAAAAACAGTGTTTAAGCTGTAATAAATACTTCTTAAGAAATTATGTTAAAATCGTGCTAAAAGAATTTGATTATAATGAGATTGGGATAGCGAAAATAACCTCAACATTATGATATTTTGTATTATTTGTTTACTCGGATAACTAAGTTGTTACTTGTGCGACGACGCATGCGCAAAACTGATTATGAATATAGATCCATAGCGCGACATGAAATAAGTCTATTTAACTTATCTCGTCAAACACTTTTAAGGAATAAAATATAAATTAAATTAATATTACAATATCATAATCCGTTATTTCGCTATCACAATCCCACCCGATAAATAACCGCATTAAAATAAACATTAGAGGGTTTTAACAAACTTTTATTTGCTGCTCTATCAATCGATTTTGAATCGCAATATTAATTTACATAAGGTAGATAAAACTGTATCCAATAATTTGGTATTGGAGGGTTTTGGTTTATTATTCCTACATCTACTTTTCAGTCACTCTTTTATCTTATTCTTTATTGACTTCTGTGTGTGGTTTGAGCTTATTGTCAATATTTCAATAGCTCCTATACATTTATAAAAAAAGAATTGAAATGAGAATCGAACACATGCCATGCAAAGCAAACTTATTAAAAAATAACCCGATGAGAGTTTTATTATTAGATAAATTACTTAATCATGAAAATAGTTGTATACACAAGATTCAGTGGTCCTAAAAAGTTGAATGGATGATGAAAAGTAAGTTTAAAAATCACGACTATGTAGTACCCTTTAGAAGTAACATCCGTTATGATCGACTCAAGTTTGTTAAATAACCTAAATGTTTATTTGAATGAAAAATATAATCACAGTCACAGGCTATAGACATCAAACCAAAAAATGAACATGTTACACCCAAATTACAATAACATTCACAATAAGATCATGCGACAAAACACTAAAGCTAGCGTTACGAAATGGGCGGGGCTTGGACGGATCGTATTTTGTCAAAAAAAAAAAATTAACTGCTATATAAAATTTTAACAATACTAAAAGCATGCTATTAACTTTAATTAAAAGCATGAATGATAAGATGCATGCTAAATAATTCAAAGGTCTATACCGTTTTTTTATTTTTGAAAAATTTTCGTTCGTCATTGAAAGTTTGTGCTCGTTCCAAATTGTAGATTCTAGTTAGTTTAGCAAATAATAAATAGTGCGCAGAAATAAAAAAAAGAAGTAACTCAATAGAGAAAGATGATTCCGCCAAAAATAAGCTGTGCTGACTAGTTTTTTTTTATTAATAATTACGTTGATCCGTTGATTTAATTTTGATTTTTGTTTTAGTATTTTTTTAGATAATTTTAGAAAAGCAAGGGTTCTAAACTCGAAAACTATGACTGAATAAGTTGTATATATCTAGTTTTTGAGATTTCCAAAAATTCTTCATGATTCCTATACACTGAACAGTCGAAACCACGCCCATTTCGCAAAACGATAGACAATAAAAAAAAACAAAATCAACAATACAGATACAATAAAACAAAATGACAAAACAAGGAGGAATGTATTTTCCCTTGGCGCGTAGTCAAGCAAATAAACTACCCGGTCAAGCTAAGCATGCGGTGATTTCCGTCGCTGTATCTGCAAAACAAATAATGATTATGTTCGTATGTGGTTGCATGCATGACATAGCCGACTGTGACTATCATCCCTACTAATATTGAACTTAACTTACTTAAAAAAAAACTTAAAAAATTGAACGACAGTGGCGCCATCTATGAACAATTGGTCGTACAAGCAGATATTGTTTTGTGTCACAATCACTTTAATAAATATTAAAGATTTAATTACATACAGATAATTATCGATTTCTAAATACATAATATATATAGCTATTCTAGCGCGCTTTCATCAGCTGTTTGACAAATCAATCGATTCGGTCGTACTCCCATAGCCTGACACGACAAATGGATTTTGCATTGCAAAAATTAATAAAATATATTTTTTGACGGCCTGATGGTGATTGATTAGCCCCGCCCATTATCACTTGTAACACAAGGGAAGTTATTATTTTTTTTTTCTTTCTGTAAAGTTGAAAAAGACGTTTTTATGATAACACTAGCAACTTATACGCATTTTCTCTCGCTGGTGGCTCCTATTGACCGTAGCGCGATGTTTTATAACAGAAAGCCATCCCCGATAAGTGTACTATCCGAAACCAAAACCAATTGTTCAAATCGAACTAGAAACTACAGAAATGAGCGCATTCTTAGAAACAAACAAACTCTTTTGTTTTATAATACTATATTAAGACAAAATATAAAAGTATAGATTTCTGTGTCTAGAGATAGTTATAAGGAAGCAGAATGCAGGGGCAGCTTTGTTCCTAGGTAAAATAAAAGATTACATATAGGATATAGTCACAGTCAACCAATCAACTATAAATAAATGATAATAATATAAATAACATAAAATGGTACAAAACGCAAAACAAGCTTAAAACGACACAAAACATGCCACACGGCCAAAAAATGCACACCATGCTAAACAGTAAACAATTTTCTTAAACACTAAACACACTGAGATTTTCACTACATAGTACAAAACAAAGTCGCTTTCTCTGTCCCTATATCCCTATGTACGCTTAAATCTTTAAAGCTACGCAATGGATTTTGTTGCAGATAAAATGATTGAAGGGGAAGGTTTATACATATGTTTAATAACATCTATTAAATAGTGGAGAAATTTAATATCGGCTTTGCACCCGTGCGAAGCCGAGCTGGGTCGCTAGTATTTTATAAAATGCTTATTTCAATATCTTTGGGATATCAGTCGCCGGTAAACTTTAAATTACAGCATAACAGTTATATATACAGCTTTATCTTGTACATTATGAAATTGTAATTCAGACCTAAAATATACGTAACTAAAATCCACATTTGAACTGCACTGCTTACAGACGTTTAGTAATTTCTATATTGTTATTTAATTTTAATTAATTGGTTCGGAAAATTACTGCTCAATACTGGATGAGGTAAAAATTAAATCCCTCTGAGTATAGCTAGAAGTCTTTTTGAATAGAACTACTGGATTAACACAACATATTAATGTTTGCTTCTGTAGGTGAAGTTAGCGGAGTCCGGCTCGGACCAGTAGAAGTTTTTAACCAGCCAGAGTCTGACACACCTCTTGATAGTCTGATAGATATGCCTTATATGTACATATAAAAATTTATACAACGTGCCATAACATCTTACTAATCTAATAACCAATCCTACTATCCTACCAATATTACAAATGTACAAGTTGGTAGGAATCTACATATGGATGTATGTTTGTTATTCTTTTATGGACAAACGGCTGGATCAATTTGTTTGAAATTTTGTATGTACATACGTGATGATAGATGCTTTTATATCAACATACCACGAGAGCGAAGCCGCTAGCGAATAAATACGCAGTATAAAAACAATGCAATTTGGAACGCAATTGAAAAATTATCAATCGACATAGCGATAGCAAATCAACACCTAATTCGGATTTCCGTTCCAAAAAGATCCAAGACGATAGTATCAAATAAAGAATAGGGAAAAAATAAACATGAAATATCAGATATGGTCTTCATTCATGTAATTTTATCTGAGCGTAAAATATCTTAGTACGTGGGCACTTGTTTATGATAACGTCAAAATGTGATCGATGGTGGATGATGCAATAATTTTCTTTGTACTTTTTAAGTACGTAGATAGTATATTTGATAAAAAATACTGCATTTTAATCCTTATCATCGATTTGGCGTATGAATTTACCTACTAATATTCATTGATGGGACTTCGAACCTATTGTTATCGAATCATGTATTTGTTTTGATATGTACCTATTTTAAAACTCACAAGTTCTTTTTTAGTACTCAAATGTGTGAGATTTTATACCTTAATTTGTGAGATCTCGGTAGCTTTTGTGTTAAAAATACTATTTTATCACTCCTATTTCCCTATTTTAATAGCTGTATGCTTTAATAACTTACAACCAGATTTCCCCATTACTAAACGCTTTGTATAAAGAAAATTAGACCTTATATTTTGAGTGTTAAGGTATGATTTATTATTATTTACCTCAGCATCGTCAATGTCATCTGTGAGGCCGTTGAATGTCGTGTTTCGTGACGCCCAGCCGTTTGCACTGCCTGATATCGTCACGTCCACACCTGGAATTGAAGTACCATAGCGTTATAGTAAATTCTATTACAATTCATTACAAAGCTTAATTCTTACACTTAGGGCTGATTTTTCAATGGTTAGATTAAAGTTATCTTTGGAATAATAATGTTGTCGCGTCAGAATGTTTGTTTAAGACAGTGACAGCAACAATTTTATTACTTAGATAACATTTGTCTAACCATTACAAATTCAGTTTCTAAAGAAATCTTTTTATCTGCCTCTTGAACAGATTTTATCTTCTATAAGTATAAATAAAGATTATTTTTCATGGGCATAAAGAGAACATTAATAGCATAGTAATAAAAGCCAAAATCGGTTGCTTCAGTAAGAATGATTTCCGCCAGCCTCGCGGCGCAATAAGGCGCCGCTGCCTAGGCCTAAAATAGGAGAAGGGACGGGGGCGTTTTATTGTATTAGATGATAATGATAACAAATAAATAATTAAAGTAGGTTTTTTATAAGAAAACACTTACTTGAACCATTACAACCGGACGATCCGGATGAACCGGATGAATTCGACGACACCGGTTTGACTGCAGTCTTTGTGTTTCTGTAACGAACCAACAATGAGTACTTGTAAAACCATTATAGTTACCAGTAATGTATTACTTAACTGCGCAAAAATTGCGCTTATATTTTAATCATCATTATGCTTATTATTCAACATTTAGCTTTATCACTGCCACGAATTAAACATAAAAATGTTTTGCGCAAAACTGTACGGCAATATTGGGCCAATAAATTTTATTTTGTAACTAGCTTTTGCCCACGACTTTGTTCGCGTGGAAAAGTGACTCCCTGCAGATTTCTGGTTAAAAAACTATCCTACGTCCTTTCTCGAGTTCCAAACTATGTCTCCACCAAATTTCACACAAATAGGTTTAGTAGTTTAGGCGTGAAGAAAAGACAGACAGAGTTACTTTCGCATTTATAATGTTAGTTTGGAAGTTTTGATTTTGATTTTCAGTCTTATAGGAGTAGTTTTATGGCACATAATACATTACAAAAATAAAATATTTTACTTACTTATCTGACGTAGTGTTGGGCGGGCGTGGTGGTACAAATGCGTCCACTACGACCTGTTCAGTTCCTTTGATCTCTGCTCGACAGAAGGGACAACCTTGACCTTCCGAGTCCTGGAATAACGTAAAGCATAAGTGTAAATGATCATGATATATGTAATTTAAAAACGTCGCGGTAGCCCGAAGGTTCGAAATCTGGCAAGTATTAATGTTACTTCGGAATCATATTAACTATCTTAGTTCCTTAAGACACCACACACATACGGTGAAGGAAAATATCGTGATAAAACATGGGCTTTATATATTCTAATTGCTGAGCGAAGGCCTCTACTCATATGGAACGGAAGAAAACCGTCTCCATATGAGAAGGGGCCTTTGCTCAGCCCGGGGCACTTATAAGCTAATCATAATATTAATGATTGTTACTTAGCCCAGCTATTATGATTATTCTCCCATGTCGTGGGTGGAAACTGCAACACGTTGCTTAGTACCCAGTTACCCAGACTTACTACAACAACCGTTTAGTTACTTTTATGTGATCTACATATAGTTACTATGGATTTATATCTTTGTATATGTGCACCCCTGACACAGGAGAAACTGTAAAACTAAAGGACGGGAGGGTGTCAGACTCTTACTGACTAAAACTCCCTTCTTTTGCTCTGGACCGAGATCGCGGTGCATCATTGCGCTTAACCCGCAACCCCGGCTGGCCGAAGTCAGAGAGAGACAATGTTTGTAATGGCTTGTTTGTTAAGAGCCTTGCTTTTTTTCTTTCTATTATTATTTACTTACAATTTGCCACGCAGTTAAGCAGGGCGTACATAATAGATGTCCGCAAGGTTCTATCCTGATGTCCTTGTCGTTTTCCGCGCAAATTTTACATAACTGGAAAGTGCTACCTGCAATACGAAAACAATTTTTTTAGCAAATGAGTCCGCTCAACTGGAGAATACCACGATCTGACAGAAAACGAACGTGAAACAATCACAGCGTTGTATTTCGCCGTGTGAGTGAGGTTACCGGAGGCCCAATCCTCCCCCTCCCCCTCACCCCTACCCTCCTCAAATATCTAATCACCAAAAGTCCAGCAACGCACTAGTAACTTCTCCGTTGATTCGGGTGTCCATAGGCGGCGCTGATTGCTTACCATCAGGTAATCCGTCTGCTCGTTTACTATCCTATCACAAGAAAAAAACGATTTAATTATCTATTGGTTGTTATACTGACCCATTTCACAATACAACTCGTACTGTTCCTGTGTAACAGTGATATGGTCTTCTGCCGGTGATATGATTGCACTGCTTAGGTCTGGGTTCACGTCCCGACCGTCTGGGTAAAGGTAGCTGAAAGGAAATTAAAATATTTTAAAAGGGAGCAGTCATTTTGTGTCTTACTTTACTTTCAGGAATATTGTAGTAATCTATCAGTGAAAGAATTTTGGCAATCCGACCAGCGGTTCCAAAGATTACCCCCTACATACAAACTTACGAATTTTACCTCTTTATAATATTAGTATAAATAACAGAGAACCACAAGAGAGTTAAGGTAAATATTCCATGGATGTAAAGACCCCTAAATGCCAAATAAAGAGCTATAATGAAAAGGTTTTAAATTTTATTTTCTTTACTCATAGAATATCCTCTACAAAAGACAATTTCGGTACAACCGGTAACCGGTGGCCTTGTTTCCCATATTCTCAAATACCTAAACCCATAAAAGAACAGTCTGATGTTGTCAGTTGTCTATGATCTGTTTGAGACCCTATCCCATAATACACTAGGAAATAATAGAAACAAAGTAGTACTTACAATCCCTCTCTATATCCGTCTAATAAAGCTTGCACTAAGCTCTTGTTCTGTGGTATCGTCTGTAGGATCTCACCGTCCACCGTCACGTAGCCTATCGCCCATTGGCCGAGCCGCGTACATGATAACCTGGTAAGAACGGGATGAAAATTGTTAACATATAATCAAGTTTATTATGCACATGTACACGGAGGTTGCACTGTGGGAGAGCCAAGCTTCGGCACGAATAAGCAGATTCAGAATATAACGAAATAATGCTCAAGTTACGTTCCGCCGTGTGTCAATCCTCGAAACTTGCCTATAAAAGGCGCTTTACCGTTGGAGTGCATCCGCAGCGTCGATTGCTTACGATCAAGTGACCCGTCAGATTATTTGCGGCTTAAAGAAAATCTTTAATCTATGCCCGCACATGATTTTGCGTTTTATTTTAATACACAAAGTATAAGAATTTCAGCACGATTTATTTAATTTGTCGAATGTAGCCTATTGTCAGAGACAATCACGAGTCAAATCTATGTATTACTGTAGATATTTCAAAATCATAAACCATTGTTTTGATGTGAAATTAAACCCAAGGCTTTGTTGAGGCTCAGCAGTCAGTTTAACACATTCAGTGCCCCCGACGCGTATGTGCGTTTCACAGAGTAGCGTAAGGAAACGCACATACGCGTCGGGGGCACTGAATGTGTTAAAACAAATAATAACTTAAAACTGGTTTGCTTTTTCACGTACTTATCGCCGAAATCATTGTTCTATCTAAATCGCTTATTTGCGATCGATTTCAGAATTATTGTATGGAATTCCCTGTAACAACCGAAATTAATTCAAAGGTTTCTTATTGGCATTGGCGGTTTTTAATTTTAGCCATTTGGATTTTAATACTGAACTGGACTTTAAGTAAGGATTCATATATAATTATGAGCCCTAAAATCTGCTGAACGAGATCTACCATCATAAAACATAAAAACAAGAACTTACCTAAACACATAACTGCCAGCCCTGTGTATATACTTCTGGAGCCTCGCCTTGACTTCGTCGTATGTTAAAAACGCCACATATCCTGGATGCGTGACAGCTAACAGTTGCCAGTTCCGGAGTAACGTACTCCATGGTTGGAATAGTCTGGAAATAGATGGGGAAATATGAGATTGAAAGCCTAGATATCTCTTAGATGAATATTTTTTGAAGATTTAATAAATTGATATGCATACATAGAGGTATTTCTTAGACAATAGATATCAACTCATAATAGTAATTAGCTAAACCAATCATTACACCTATCGCGTTTGATAGCGTGGGAGTCGAAACCGCATCGCAAAATACAATAGCGTACTGTTATCCCGACATTTCGTTTGTATGTTACCTACACTTGTATACCTAAACTGCTGTGTCAATGTCGATGGTAAAAAAGGAAACACTTGTTTTAAAATATTTTGATACAGAATAGAGTACATTTTGGATAGGCATAAGAGACTATAACTAAAAAAACGGCAAAGTAAAGATGGTCTATTTTACGATTTAAGCCGCGACAGGAAAAGTCTTACTATATTTAGTCCAATTATCTTAGCTTTCCTAATTTAACAGAAACCACCCTGTTCCTTCTCTTGTTCTGGGCCGAGGCCGCGAGACACTCTTTCTCGCCTTAACCTAGGCGGGAGAAGTCAATTAATGACTTTCCCCTGACAAATAAACCGCGACTACAGCCGACAATAAATAGACCTAAAATTACACTAGCGCCTCTTTCTATGGCAAACAAATTTCGACATCAAGAGCAAAGTTGTAATCGAAAATTGTTCATTGACAATTTCATAATCATTCTTAAACATTGCTTACATTTGTATTCGAGAGGTCAACGGAATCACAGGTAGGTAGGTACATGAGTCATTAAAACATCGTTAGGTCAGCATCGTTTTTCAAAGGTGCAAGCTGACAGTGTTATTCAAATTCAAAGGAATATAAAAGGCAGCCATTTTGCATGAACGAGTCATCAAGCAGTTAGTTTTATTTTTGGTGACAGTCCGGTCCGAATAAGCTGAGCCTCATGAATAAGTTATAGATGCGGGAACCCCTTCTTTTAGGGTTGGGTTGATTTAAACCGTGGTCATAATATTTCGACAGTTCCCTTTTTGCAAAGCATATAAAGCCATGTATTTTATACGTGCCTGTATGTAGTAGGTACTTAAGACTTGATGGCTGTTAACAGTAAAAAAAGGTAAAATCACAGAAGTGTTGCTCGTCTGATGTTGCGAGATCCATGGACGGCGTTAATCGCTTATCATCAGGGGATGTGTATACTTGTTTCCCTCTTATTTCATAATAAAGTATGCTTAGATCATAATGATCAACATGACTAATAGTCCAAGTATTACAAAGTACTAAGCCATAGCCAAAAGCATAGAGCGAAATATAATTTCTGTAATGAAAGAACATGACCAATCACCAATTTATGTAGTATTTGCTAAAAGCTTCAAAGCAAAAGAATTACCTTGTAAAAACATCAAATTCAAAATTCGATATGAAGTCGTTGCAAGTGAGATCGATAGTGGTTTTCAACGCCATGGTCTCCAAACCAGATGATATGGGATGCACGTTGTTCAATTCCTCCCTAAATATCTTCCATGGTACCAGGGTGCTGGAAAGAGAAGAAAATATCGGTTAAATTAAAATACAATATTCTATAATGTCTTATGATTGAGTATTACATTGCAAACTTTATGATTTAGATACAGTATTTAAAAACAAATAACAAACAAAATATTAAGGTTGACCTGCTGGCGTCTGTACACGAAAGTACAGAAAGTATCAAAGTTCCTAAAATTAGTAGTTTTTCTTTATACATATTTTAAAGATTTTTTTATAATATTAGGTAAGTTTGTATGAGTTTCAAAATCCTTTCAAAGCAAATCAAGCTTTATTAAAATAATGTCATATACAAATATTAATTCAACCCATTTTTGTAGGAATATACCCTAAATGGTTATCGATACACAATGTTCTTTTTTTTTTCATATTTATTGACTATATTTTGCCAAACCTTACAAGTGCCAAAGCCATTTGATAACATTTATTCTATCGTGTCTTTTATTAATATTAACTATGTAATTAACCTAATTTCTTTTACTAAAAATTAATTTCTTCTTATTAAAATATTATAAAAGATACAATTTATACGTCTTCCTTTAAGGACGTTAGCTGTTTTTTTCCAACATGAAATATTAAAAGAGACTCAGTGGTCTTCAAAGGTCCAACGCCCCCAATACAACTTCAGAATCAACTTTAATGACATCCAGGGCAATTCATCTCAGACGGGACGTAGGGGACACCCAAATAATCGTTACGTCTGCCCACTGTCAACGTCGACCCCTCGATCGTATAGGAAATTAATTCAGGTAATTGGAAAACACGCGCACTCCCACTTCATTTTATATGGTAGCCGTTGAGCAGGTGAGTGGAAAAGGTCTGGTTGGCGCGATGTTCATGTGGGATATCAAACTACAAAGACATGGAACCCCCTTCTCGACTAGTTTTATTATCTAAAAAATCTGTATTTCAGTCTTAGTATATCCAATATATACGAACGCTTCCCTAAAGGCAGACAATCTTTTGAAACTGATAGACCAGCAGATACAGATACATTAAGAGTATATTTGTCTATTATTAAAAGGATTTGCAGGTCCTATGGGTCAGAATGTAATGAACAACGTATTTTAATCAATTAAATTACTTATGTTTTTTTATGTAATAGGTCGGCAAACGAGCAGACGGATAACCTGATGGTAAGCAATCAGCGCCGCCCATGGACACCCGCAACGGAGGAGTTACGAGTGTGTTGCCGACGATTAGGGATTTGGAGATTTAGGGATTGAGGAGGGATTGGGGTAGGGGAGGGATTGGGCCTCCAGTAACCTCACTCACACGGCGAAACACAACGTGGGTTGTTTCACGCCGGTATTCTGAGGCCGTGGTATCACTCCAGTCGAGCCGACCTTGCCGAAGCTTGGCTCTCCCACACGTATTTTATTCAATTAAATTACTTATGTTGGACAAACCTAGTGATAAAATTTGAGGTTCCCCAAATGGTTATTGCAATTTTGCACTATCAATTCGCCTTCTCTTTTGTCTGTGTCAACATCAGCACACTGCACGTTCACGTTCCGACTTATCGATTATTTGCCACCTATTCAGCTGTAGCGTGATGTTTGACATTGTAATTGTCGGACTACTTTGTAGATTAAACATCTGCGTGATTCGATTTGTCTGCATCCGTGACGGTTAACTGCCCCTTTTTGTAACCAAAGATAAGTTGATAATGTTGAAAGTACACATTTACAAGCAGATGCAGATATATGCCTATTTAAGAGTGGGTAAAGATATTATTCTTAAATGCAAGGCAATGCAATAGGTATAACGAGAACGAAAAGTAAGAAAATGGATGTGTAACGTTTATTGTCTATTTTAAAAACACAGATAATAAATTAATTAAATTATAGTACTTTACACATTGTGATGGTCCAATTCTTTAAGCACGCCTCTCAAGTATGAGGGGACAGGTGTATAGCCTGTGCAGTAATTCTTTGAGTTATATGATTTCCAAAAATATTTAAACATTACAGTCAGGCGTTGAAGGAAAAAACATCGTGAGGAGACTTGACTTTAAGTAAGCGTTTGTTATTGTTACTTTTCCATGTCAAAAGAGGCTTTTCCTCAGCAGTGGAATATTTACTGGTTGACGATGATGAGTGTCTAAAAATATATAAAGAGGTTGTGTAATACCTAGCAAGTAAAACTATCCTACTTAAACGGTACGTTGGTGAACTTTCGAAGTTACTTAAAGCGCGTATGGAAGTACAGTTAGGTTTGCAGAATTTCCATCTTTTGCCTTTGACGACACTTGAAGTTTGTAATCTAACTTAGTCTAAGAATTACATAGAATGTCACCAAGCTTTCCAATGTTCATCGTAGTTTCAAGTTATTTATATGACGCCTTTATAAGAACCGTTTTGCCTCGTATGTGAAGTAATAAGATTATGTTCTAAAAGCTTTGAAGTGTAAACCACTGTAAATGAATTAACTTCAAAAGTATCTGTCCTACGTACACAGGTAGGGTTTCCTTAATATCACCGTTGTTTATTTTGTTTAATCATTTTACAGAAAAAGTAAGTAACTATATCTAATTTTGGATGGGTTTAAAGTACTCCTCCTGATCTTTTTTTGAGATCAATCCAGTGGTTATATCATATAGACCCAAAAGGGAATCTCACTTACCCCACAAGAACCTAACTCTATCTATATAGACTAAAATCTCGTATACAAGCTAAAATATTATCCATGAGGTATTTCTCTCTACAAACTGAATAACGAAAAAACGTTATGAACATGTTTGTCACAGTAGAAACGTCAGCAAAAGCTTTTTGCAATGAAAATTCTGAAGCGTCAAATTCTCTCTTGGCTTACATATTCAATAGGTCCAGGTTGGTGCATTTTCTATTGAATTTATGCATCCAGCTTTATTGATTTAGGGGTGTCGTTTTCATAATACTGTAGGGGTACAGGCGAGAAAATGCGATGTTATAAGAAGGAAGATAAACTAGACTGTAGCATTCGAATTGTACTGTTTTTATATTTATACCAATTTATTGAAGCAATGCTTTTTGCAAATTTAGGACACATTTGTAAACAATTTTGTAAAGAAACCGCAAAATAAGGTTAAGGTACCTGAGGTAAATAAGGCCCAGGGGGTAATAAGGCCCACATTTAAAATTTCGCGGAAAATTATTTCTCAAACACTTCACTGTTTTACGCATTCGTGCAATTTATCGGTGTGAATCTCTCGGTATTCATCCGCAATCGCTAGCGCCGCCATGTTGCCAGTTACGTGTGATGAGTTGATGAAGTGATCAGCTACTGTGCAATTCTATAAGTTTTAGATCAAGAAACTGTAAGTATTTTTATGTCTAATTCATTATTTGACTAATATTGCTATATTTATTATTTTAAGTATTTGTTGTACAATATAAAGGATATGGTTTTTCCTATCCAGTGAAAGATTTTTTAGGTTTATTCGGTTATTTTGTAAAAACATTAGGTTAATAAGGCCCATTATAAAGGTACTTGGGCCGTTGGGATTCTACTATGTATCTAATTAAGACCAGTTCCTTGAAACTAAATTGTCTACCATTCATATTAAGAGCGCAATAAGGCCTATGTTAAATAAATAAAGGAAAATGATTAAATTATTAAAAAACAGCAATTGACTTTTATTTTAACTTATTTCTAATTTATGACGATTTACTGTAAAAATAAAGCAATTTTTAATATGGGCTTTAATATACTCGTACTACCGTAGTATAATAAGGGTTGGTATTAAGGGTTAATGAGAAGGGTTTTTAAAAATATATTTTCTTGTTAAAAAATATGTCTTTCTTAATATTAATACACAATTTATTACAGCAACATGTACAAACTATGTAAAAAATATGTTTTAGACATCCTACACACATTATATTCCGATTTATAGCTATATTCTTTTAGGTGGGCCTTATTTGCCACCAGTACCTTATAAAATTATTTAGTAATACTGTTATAAAATTCTCGCCAATTCTTGTCAATTTTGAAGTTTCTCATGTAAAGCGTGGATAGTCCACTTAAGGTATGTGGACCTCTTCTGTGTAGAAGAGGTATGTTATAAACATCTCGAAGAGGTGGAAGACGAGTGAGAGATTGAAAAAAGGCTAAAGGCTCGGGTTTATAAGAAAAACTACTGCCTAGTCTATTAAGCATTCAATTTCATTGAATTTAACGTAAGTAACACCCAGGTAAGGAGTACTATTCTTTGAATCAACTGTTAAACAACGTATTGTAAAAATACACGTAAGTATCCATCCATATAAATCCATTAAGACTTTAACAGGCTAGTAAAACAACACCTTCAGTTGTTTAAGACCCCATTATGGTGTTAGTAACAGGCGAAAAGTTGGTTTTTGCTTCGTCAGCGTCTCCCAGTAAATAAAAGCTGCCATCTACAGTGTGAAAGTTTTTCGACGTTTCAATACGAAAAAGTTTAGCCTTAGCGGTTAATTAGCACATAAAAGTCTTTATTTAATAGCCCTCGGCTTTGGTAAGGCAAAAAGGGTTGAAATCCAATTGGGTAGTGGCCTTGTTAGACTAGTAAAATAGACTCGTAATTTATTAAAGTCTAATTATAGTTGGTGAAAATTAAATTGAGCTGCTAGAATAGGAATGTCGGCGTAAAAATTTGAATGAAATGCCTGGTTTGGGTATAATTAGGTTCCTCTTGAGTCTTGACGGTGCTGTGTAATTATTATTTAGAATAGTGTTTCTATTAGCTTTTGCGCTTTTGGTGTTTATAATTTTGTGCCATCAACCTAGTATATTACGTTACTTGATAGTGGTCAGGATCGTAAACGACAGAGGCGCCACATAAGGAAAACGAAAACTACATATAACACACATTCGATGAAGTCGCGTTTACTGATAGAAACAGATAAATATATAAACAGATTTTTAATGATAATTTACAATGAAGTAATAAGAAATAGAAATATCACTTTAATTTTATTAATATAAAGGGAAAGTTTGTAAGATCCAACTTATTAGAGCCGAAGCTTCAAC